CTCATTCCAGGGGTGCCATAATGAGTCCTGGGCTGATCAAGATACTCTGGCTTTTGGACAGAAACTAACCTCAAGAGGCAGATGGCACTCTGTGGTTTGCTGTTGTTAATCTGGGAAAATGCAAAACAGGCAGGAAATGACAAAGAAAACCTTGGTGATCCTACAAAGGAAAGAGGAAAAGCATTTTCTGTCATTGGGGACATGTGACCTGAATGGGCCATGTTCAGGAGCGGTGGCCCCTCAGTGGATCCTCTGAGGAGGAAAGATTGGTGGCTTCACAGCCTCATAAAGACGGCGTGGAGTGACCAGAAGGTCTGCAGCTTTTGTGGTTGTAGAACCAAAGACTCTGGTGTCAGAGGAATCCAGAAGGACTTTGGTTGACCTGAAGGAAGTTCTGGAAAACGAAGGGCAGCCCACTCTGCATCTGCTTTGTGAGGATTGGGTGGGGAGCGTGTTGTCCTTCAAAGAATGGACTGAGTGAGAGGAAGGTGAATCTGTTGGCATGGAGGCGATTGCTGAGGTAGGGTCAGGAGATGCTGAAGACTAGGATTTTGTGAGGTTGGGGAGGCTGAAGCGTCTCTTCAGGGTCATGTGGAGGATTGGGGCAACGCATCGAGTGACGAGCAAGCTAAATATTTAGTTAGTTCAGGGCTAGCTAAATATTTAAGTTGAAGCAAAATAATTAGGTCCTAAAACAAATAAAGCTGGACTGTGTGACCCTGCAAAGCAGAAAGGGCAAAGCAGAGAATCTGAGGAAGCCATCTTGTCTTCATCAGCCCTTCATGCTTTTCAAAGCTAATCTTTAGACCAGTGTTTCCAACCCTGGTCCTCAAGGCACACTGCCCTGCATATTTTAGATGTTTCCCTCCTTTAACACATCCCATTTAAATGACTGCAGTTCAGAAAAACCTTGTTAATCAGTCATCAACTGAAATCATGTGTGTTGAAGCAGGGAAAGACCTGAAACATGCAGGGCAGTGTGACTTGAGGACCAGGGTTGAAAAACACTGCTTAAGATAATCCAGACGTTGTTTGTTGGTGTCTGAATTTCTATTTCTGGTACTTTGGATCAATAAACCCAAAGTACTGTCTTTATATTATCATCAAATTCAAGGGAATGTACCATGATCATCGTACATCATCAGGGTACAATGATGTTAATTTATCAGAGAACTTAAAAAAATAATGCCTGCTCCGTAGTTTAAATTTCTATTAACTTTACACAACAGGAATCCGGTCCAATAACGGGGTCTCCAGCTGCCTTGGAATACTCCCTCACCCCCTAACATCCTTCTTCCCGCTCTCTCACTCGGACTTCCTCACCTGTCAGAGGTGGAATGTTGCTGGCGGAGACGGTCCTCCAGGGTCCAACTCATGACAGATGTAACGACGCTCAGTGAAAATGTTTACCAGCAGCTGCTGTCTGCTGCAGACAACAAGCTGCTGCAACTCAGGAGCTTCACCAGGCTGGCAGTCCAGAGCTGAGACACAATCTGAAGATTAGGGTCTTGGCAAAGAGGCTTCACAACCTCACTCTCTAAGAAATTAGAAATAGAGATGGGCCATAAAGATTTCTAAGTTTATTTTCTGCTTCTTATAATGATAAAACATATTTGGAGTCATTTCACAACAGATTGAATGAGACTTCATCATCCTGCAGCAATGTCCTCAGAACACAAAATAAGCAAAAATCATAAAAGAATGGATTATTAAAGAGGCTGCATTAAGTTGTGCGTCAGCAGCTCACAATAACCGGGAAGCTACAAAGTTAAAAGATGAACAGTAATAACTCGGGTTATTTAGCCTGTCATGCTAGAAAACGTGGGAATGTTTTTGTCATACTTTCAATAATATTCATAAATATTTAATTAGCACGCTAAATATTTAGATTGAAGCCAAATACTTAGCTAGCAAGATAAATATTTAGTTTGCCAATTAAATTTTAAGCTAGATCAGATATGCTAATTCACATACCGATGACCGGAAGTGGACTATAAAAATAAAAGCTGGATCTTCCGAACCCTTTCCGAACTGTTGCTAGTGTAAATGTTTATTAAAATGGCTCATTACTTGTTGTAAGCTAGACTGTTACCATGTGATGAAGAAAAGACTAAACGATGACGACATGAACACCAATTGAAACGAATCAGCCGCGCCAGCAGAGATTCGCAAGAGCAAGCTTTTATTTTGGTAGACCACTTCCGGCTATCGGCACGTGAACTAGCATATTAACTAAATATTTAGCTCTGCGCGAAGCTAAATATTTAGCCTTGAAACTGAATATTTTGTTTGAATCTGTGACATTTATAAATTAATGATTAACATGATAAAAATCTGACTTTGAAAATGTTTAGGCTAAATAATCCAAATCTTTGCTGTTAAATTCTGATTGTATAACTTTACAAACGACGTTCCTACTTCCTGTAATCAGATTTTAATAAATATTGTTACCTCCTGTTTTTGTCTTAGAAAGTAAAGGTTTCATCATTATTTGTAATTATTGTTGGAGGCATTTACATGTCATCATGTATGAATATTATTCATTCTGCAGAGACAAAAGAAAAAGGAGAATCTTTGAAAAACTATTTTCCACCAAACTTATTCACTTCGTTGCTTCAGCTTCCTGAAGATCCCACTGCTGCATTTCAATAAAGTGGAGCTCCAGACTTTGACTAGGCCGTTGCAGACTCTTTCCATTTTCTGCTGTAGATTAGTTGCTGTGTTTGGATCCTGGTTCTGTTGATGACCCGGTTTGGACCCACATTAGATAAAACTCAATAGTCAAGTTTCGTCCAGTTTTATTTTGCTAATTTCTAAAACATGATGTGAAAATAAACATGTTAACCTGCAGAAACAGTAAATCTGCTGCAGCTGAGCCCATTATGGTGTTTGTGTTTTTTGTGGCTGCAGCAGCAGCAGCTGGGTGGCTGCAGCCCGGAGAGGAAGCAGCCTCCTCGGATCCGCTCCGCGCCGCCGCCGCTCTCCGTGGCAGGCCTCCAGCTGAAGTGTCTCCGGAGCGGAGCTCCTCTCGCCCCCTGCTGGGCGGAACCAGGCCGCGCTGAGCCCGGCCCGGCCCGGCCCGGCCCGGCGCCGCGGTCACATCCTGTCCGGCAGCGCGACATCACTGGGAAAAGACAAGTCAGGGAAACTGGGACCAACTGGACCAGACCCTCCGGTTTAAGGTTCTTAGTCATTTTATGTATTTTTAAGCATAAAAATCTAAATTGATCAGCTTTAAAGAGAAATGGGGGAAAAAAGATTTCCTGATTTTTAAATGTAAAAGTGAGATGAATTACTAAGAACTGAAGTTAGTTTGTGGGGCAAGTTTACATTAATGTGATATGTCAATAAATCAGCTGATTTAAATTAAATTTATATTCAATTTATATTAAAGCTGTTTGAATATGAATTCAAACAGCTTGTTAAAGATTATGACGTATTCATCTACTTATTGGGTCACACAAAACAGCTTTCCATCATTCCAAACACAAACTTCATGATATTTTATGACAGATCAACGTGTTGCATTGGGATTAAATTAAGAAATGAGTTTATTCTGTAAAAATAAAGTCTAAAATGTGGAAAGCTGTTCAGAGCTGGTGGAGATAAAACCCAGAGGAAGTTGGTTCTGAGTCAGTGGGGCTGAATAGATATGCACACCACATTTTTCAGATTGTGATTGTTAAAAAATAAAAGACATTTGTGTAAAATACACAGAAGTTAGTTTTAATGTGACAAAGAGGAGATGTAAATACTTTTGCAGGATGTTGTTGATCCTGAAGTTATTTTGATTCACATCTGAACAAACATCAGTGATTTCCCTCATTAATGTTTGAGTGAGTTATTTCCAACATGTTTTTATGCAAAACACATTTAAAGCAATGTTTGGATTATTTTTGGATTTGTTAGAATTTAACTGCAAATTTAATGTAAATTACGAAACTATTTTAGGTGCAAAATGTGAAAGAAACCAGCAGAAGAAGAACCAGAAGTCAACAAACAAGCTACAGACTTTATTTGTTGAAACAAGTACATATAGAGTTTCTGAATAACATGTTTTATTTGCTACATTGTGGTTTTTATACACACCATCAGCGGAAACAACTGCACACAATACAAATTATCAAACATATCAAAATCAGTTTTTACAACTCTTTTTGTAGCCACCAACTCGTCCTGTTGGTGTCCATAGTGCAAACTGGGTCACTCACATCTCGGGTTCACTGCGCCTTCAGTTCAGGGCCGACGCTACAATCGGGACCGCTCAGCTGGGTTTACCCAAAACTGGTTCTGCTCCAGTCAAACCGCCATGCTGGGGAGAGTTTAGCTAAATATTAGCATGACTAATGGGGAAATGCTGCTAACCAGACTGTTTTTGGCTTTGGTTTGTTACTTATCTGGATGTTTCATTGTTAGCGGCTCAGCTGGGGTGAAATGTGACTCCAATGGGTCTCCAAATGTCAGAGACGATTAAACTGGTTCTCACAAACGTAGCAAAGCGTAGAAACGAGTGTTAGTCTGTCCAGGCTTTTAAGGTTACAGTCAAAAATTAACAGCAATAATCTGAGTTATTTGAGATCAGAGAAAAACATGAGGGTTCATTTTTCAAACTCACATTTTCACCATGTTATTCATTCATATCTAAATGTCAAAGTTTCAAACTAAATATTTAGTTAGCTTGGTAGCTAGCGCAGAGCTAACTAAACATTTATGTAGCTCAAATCTAACTAAATATTAAGCTAGCTCAGAGCTATATGTTTAGTCTAGAGCTAAATAGTTACCTTGCTCACTGAATACTTGTGAAGCTAAATTTAGCTTAACTAAATAGTTAGATTCAAACTAAATACTTAGTTTGAAACTGACATTCATGAGTATCATGAAAAAAATAGGACTGAAAAGTTAAGCTCCATATTTTTCTCTGTCAGGTTAATTAACCCAAATAATTGCTGTTAATATCATCTAACTTTAGTCCTCAAACAGAAAAGAGAGACAGGAACTTTGGGGGAGAATAAATGTTTTTGTTTTAACTTGGATCATTTCTGCCAACATTCACTTCACGGTCCATCAGGCGTTGTTCTGTTCTCGCGCCCGTCTGGCTTCGAGCCGGGACGGCTAAAGTTTCACTGGAAGAAAGAAAGCTACAGTATGCTGGTGGTGAAAGCGCCGCCCTGCAGGGAGCCGGGCTGCTTGTGGCCTCAGGTGGCTGCAGGAAAGCGTCGGATCGGGCTGGAGTCTGAAGGGTTGAGGCGCGGCGCCCGGGCTCAGGAGCAGCCGCAGCGGTCCACCACCATGAACGGGATCTTACCGTAGATGATCTGCTCCTTGTCGTTGAAGTAGAGCATGTTGATGGGGGACATCTTAGAGGGGGTGCAGCAGGGGCCCGCGGACCCCCGGGGGTTGGCATTGTTCACCAGGTGGGTGTGCGGGTACTTCTGCAGGTACATGTACTCACACTCCCCGGAGCAGTAGTTAGCCTTGTAGCGCTTTGGGGCGATAATCCAGTCCCAGCCAAAGTCCTCAAAGTCCACGGTGAGCGGGTAGTGGCAGCAGCGGGACTCCAGCGAGTTCTCATCACAGTCCAGACCAGAGTCTCTCCGGGCCCGCCGGGGGCCCTCAGACACCTTCACCTCCATGAACGGTTGCTGAAATGACAGAACACAATGAGATGGATTAGGAAAGCTAACCATTTGCTATAGCTAAACAATTAGCTAGCAAGCTAAATATTTAGCTTCAAACTAAATATTTAGTTATGCAACTAAATATTTGACTTCAAGCTACTGTACATATAATAATGTAAATTCAGTTGCTGATAACTGGAAGTGGATTATCAAAATAAAAGCTTCCATGCCGCTTCTTGAACTCCTGTTTTCATATCTCTTCTTCATGTGTTTTCTTGTGCAACAGTTCAGCTTAAAACAAGATCGGTGGATTCAGTCTCACCAGCAGGAGTTCCTGGAAGTTCTTAACACACAGCTTTTATTTTGATAGTCAAATACATCTTCACAGCATGTGAATTTGGATGTTGGCAAAAATATTTAGCTCTGAGCTAGCTAAATATTGAGCTAACTCTGAGATAAATAAATATTTTGCTAGCTCAAAGCTAACTTAATGTTTGGCTAGCTCAGGGCTAAATATTTACTGATAAGACCCAACTTTCTGTTTAATAGTCGACTTTTACTTATTGTAAATATAAATATGCATATTACATAAATATTTAATTTCTAAAGTAAATATTTAGCTAACTAACTATATAGTTTAGATCTACTTTATTATTTAGTTTGGATCTAAATATTTAGCTTGCTAACTAAATATCTAGTTTGAAACGGTAACATGTGAATGAATGAATGAATAACATGGTGAAAATACGACTTTAAAAAGCAAACCTCCATGTTTTCCTCTCATGACCGGCTAACTAACCCAAATTATTTCGGGTCATTTTTGACCCCGATGGAGCGGAGTCAGCGTTCAGCCTCTAATTTCCTCCTGGCAGCGAGTCTTCAAACATGTCACGGAAACATGATGAAACCGCGACTTTCAGAGAAATTAAATCATCAGACGGTTGGTTAGCTGCTGCACAGGCCGGAGGCAGCGCTGGAGCTGCTGGTCATCGATCGCACAGGGTGTGTGTGTGTGTGTGGAGGCAATTACTCTGATTTGCAGAGTCACACGGAATGCTGTGAGGAATGCGGAGCGGCCCGATGTGATTGGTCCAGGTGAGCCAGCCTGATTACTTCCTGTTTGACCGCCTGCTGCGGCTGAACGGCACGAACCAAAGTCAGACTCGATAAAAAGTTCACTGCAGTACGGAGGAAGTGATCAGATTATCAGTCACTTAATGACCAAAATATAAAGTCATGAAGAAGGAGAAGAAAGTACCAAAAAATAAAATCAGGCAAAATCAAATGTTTCCAATCTTTGAGTAAAAACCTTGAACAGAAGCTGCAGGTGAGTCTGTCTGCTGAGGTTTTGGTGTTTCAGTAAAATCCACAACTTTTTCTCCAGTAAGAGTAGAAAGTACAACGTAGTAAAAATACTCCTAAAAGTACATTTCTTCCAAAAAAGTTACTCAAGTAAATGTAACAAGTTACTAACCAGCTCTGTTTACGCCTGCAAAGGTCAAAAGGTCAACCTCTTTCTGACCTGGAGTTTATTTTGAAAGTATTCCTCATTAGATTTTAGCTGATTTCTAACTTCACGTTTTACAGTGCAGGTGTCCAAACTGCGGCTTGGGGGCCATTTGTGGCCCTTGGAATGAGTTTGGGTGGCCCCTGATCATTTTTATAATTACTAAAAGATGAGGATTTAAAATTTATTTCTTTTAAAATACTTCCTACAATGTAAAGTATTTTAGTTACTATTCACATTCTCTTCTTTTTGCTTTAATTTTAATACAGTTATGCTGTAAACATATTAGATTTTTTACAGTTGATCCAAAAACTTAGGAATCAGAACAACTTTCTTTTAATCTGAAAACCTAAAAATGTTTTATTTTCTACTTTGAGTTAAAATATTGAATTTTAAATTAATTTATAAGCAGATATGAAGAAAAGTATAAAATAGTTTTGCTACTTTAATCGAGGGGAGAAGAAATCAACTTGGTGATTTTGTTGCTAAGGAGATTTCTCTGCTTGTGGGCCGGAAAGCCCACAGCATCACTCTGTTCCTCAGACAGAAACATAAACACGACTTTGACCCTCATGCTGTTCATACGGCTGTAGAAACGATCAGGAACCGGTTTCTGGATCAGAACTCAACCTGGCAGCAGCTTTAAGATGACCTCTGACCCAACACACCTGCAGCTCAACGCTTCACGCAAAAATCGAAAACAGAAAAATCGTCCGACAGACCGGTTGGCTTTTCTATAAAATCCCCTCTGAGGATGGAAGAAAAGGCTAAAATTCAGATAAAGTTATAAAATGCTGGTCCTGATCAGAACCAGCGGTTCTGGGTTCTGTGGAGCCGCAGCACGACGGAAACAACACCAAGGAAACTCAGTTTTATCCTCAGAAATCTTTAACTTGTGTTTTTTACAGTATGAAGTTTGAACTTTGCCCCTCCCCTACATATTTCTGCTGATTCATCACTAAAGGTTTCATTCATAAAGACTCCAAACTGACCTCCCTCCATCATTAAACCTGATTATTCTCCTTATTAAATGATGACAGAACCCGACTGACGACATGAAGAACAGGTCCGCCTCCGAGGTTCTGATTGGACCGGAACAACATCAGTAGCGCTGCAGGCCTGCCCGAATCAGTAAAGGTCAGAGGTCATGGTTCAATGGTAAAGAAGAGAGAAAAATGGTCTCCAAGACCAGAGCTACAATCCAACGCTCTCCACCAAGTCCGAGCGGCCTAGTCAAAGCCCAAACTTAAATCCAGTTGACACCAACATGTTGTTCCAACAAGGCTCAATTTACTCAGCAGAGCGGGTCAAAGGTCATCCACAGTGACCTTAAAGCAAGTCGACTGCGAATCATAAATGTTTCTAGAAATGAACAAATTAAACATTTATATGAACATACAAAATGCGAGTTTATCGTGTTTTATTGTGTTTTTATCAAATCCTGCACTTTGGTTTTGTTTCTGTCACTTCCTGGACGATTTCGACTTGGCTGTGATTGGCTCCTTTCACCCAGTAAACACTCTGATTGGATGAAACGGATTTGCTGCGTTTCTTTGACTGTGACAGATACAGAAACATTTCGTGGCTTTTTGTCCTTGTTGGTGTTCCGTAGTAAGCTGCTGCTCAGCGTCACCAATTATTGTTTGCTTACATAAATATATGCGCTCACATCGGTTTGACTCAGACAAAGCCACAGACGGGCAACAGTTAATAAAAATGAAGGATGTTAAATAGTTTTATCACCAGCTGCTGGTCTGCAGGTGGGATAACATTTCCACGCAGAACCAGGTTGGTTTGGTTCTTTTTTGTTTCCTTAATAAATGAATTCCTGGTTTGAAAACACTTTTTCTTCTCTTTTTCTAACTCGGTCAGTTTAGGAGGAGTTAAAGTTAAAGAGTCCCGAAGGATGACGAGAAAAGTTTTCATGAAACTCAAACTGCAGGAAAATATAAATGATATTTGTGGCTGAAGCTCCGGGCGGAGCGCCGCGGACTCACCAGCCCGTCCTCCCCGGCCTGCACCGCGGTCACCGCCAGGTCGTTCCCCCGCGAGTCGAAGGCCTTGATCTCGATGCCCCAGTTGGTCTCCGGCTGCCGCAGCCACACCGCCACCACCTGCTTCACGTCGATGCTCTGCCACGAGCTCACCCCGGCGTTCACGTCGATCTTCAGGGAGCGGATCCGGACGTGCCTCCTGCCGCCGTCCGTGGCCGGCATGAGGCGGGAGATCTGCAGGAACACGGTGGTCGCCTCGGCCGCGGGGCGCATGTGCACCCACAGCTGCGCGCGCACGATCGGCGTGGCCTGCAGCTTCTGCGTGAAGGAGAAGAAGCAGCACGTCGGTTCCCCGTCCTCCTGGACCGCCGGGTCGGCTGCAGGAACACAGAGCAGGACATGACGCACGGAGGATAAATATTTACAGATAGAACATGGAACCAGTTGGGATGATCTTTAGGTTTTCCTGTTGGCTCCGTGTCCAGCGGACCCTGCAGGCTGCGAACAGAACCAGAGCCGCTCGGAGCTGCAGCTTCTGGCTTCATGTCAGAAGGAAAGAGAAGAAGGTTGTTTTGTTTGGGAAGGTGACAGCTGAAGCTGGTTTCAGAGGTGCGAAAAACAAACCGAGTCCGTTCAATTCGACTTGGAGCTGCGCTTCATCTGAGGGCGGATTCAGAAACTTTACGGATCCGGACCTGGATCCCTCCATCCCTGCGCATCACTTCATCTCATTTCTGTCCCTTTACCTCGTTTTATTGTTAAAACGCTTTAAAACCGAAAAAGTAAGTGAATGTAATTTGTTTTGAAGATAAATAAAAGCTTTATTTGCTTCTGTGATGCGCAAAATTTCATTTTGCCAACATGTGCAAAAAAAAATAAACAATTTGTGTCGCAAACTCGAACAAAAATACAATTTGTGATCTTGATGGTGCTTAATTCACTAGAATCACCTAAAAACATCCAGGTAATGTCAAACTTTATGTTTTTATTGCGTTTTTATGTCCGTAAAACTTCATTTCATTCACAGAAATCAATAAAAACAGAAACTTTGTCTTGCAAACACCAACAGAAATACCGTTTTTAATCCTGGGAATTCCCATTAATTCTCCATGATCACCGAAAACACCCATCTGATGTCTCACTTAGTGGCTTTTATCGCCTCTTTTGAGCGTAAAGCTTCATTTTACCCATTATAAAACTGTCATAAACCTTCTGATGCACAACCTTCTTAAGGTTCATAATGCTTCGGTATTTATCTTAAAATCTAAAACTCAGAATGATGCCAAAATAGAACGTTTTCTTTGCACTTCTTTTTGGGGAAAAACCTAATTTTGAGCACAAAAGACGCTAAAAAGCTGTTTGTTGTCTTGATAAGCTCCAGTAAAAAGCAGCTTCAGCACTTAAGAACTCAATGAGATGCCAAAATAAAAGCCGTTTTGTGCGTAAAATCTTGTTTTACGCACAAAAATAGTCAGGAAACCGCCAAATTGTTCTGCAAGAAACATATAAAACAAAAAGTCTTCGGGATTCTTCTTCATTCATATATTCACGACCAACATCTAGAATCTCCATGCGACGGCAAAAAACTCCTTGCTTGCAGTTCTGAGCGTAAAATGTGGCTTTACGCACAGAAGACGCGTTAATGGAGCAGAAAGTGGAGCTCGAGGCAGACTTACGCTCAGTGGCCATGATCATCAGAGTCTCAGTGGTCGCGTGCTCGTCGTCCTCCGGTACCAGATCCCGGCTGTCGTCTCCCAGCACGTCGTACTGGTCCAGCAGCTGCTGCAGCGGCGGCGCCTTGGGCAGCAGCAGCTGCACCGCGTCCCGGCTGATGTTGGGCGCCTCCTTCATGCGCAGTTTGCTCAGAATCTGCGACTTGATGGCGTTGATCCGCATGGTCTTCATGTGCTGCCGCACCTCGCAGGTGAGGCACTGCTCCGTGTCCGTGGGGTTGGTGGCGGCGGCCGGCTGTGGGTCTGGCTCGCTCAGAACAACAGGACCCAGAACAGCCAGCAGGCTGAGGCACAGCGCAGTCCGGGACAGGTGCATGGTCTCTGCTGCTCGGCTTCAGGTGAACGAGAAGGAAAAGATCCGCTGCGACGTGATGCGCCTCGGAGCTGCGTGGGAAAATGAGCAGCGCTGACGGGCGTCATAATTTATTTGCGCGCAGCTTTTTATACTCCAACTTTAGCCTGTTACGTGGCAACAGAAACCATGATTGGCTGGAGAGGAAACGATGGATTCAAACAGAGTGGAATATTTTTTTATTAGATGAATCAGATTTAAAAACCAAAGCATGTGAAACATCTGTCAAACAGGATAAAAAACTTTAATGTCTCACGAGTCACAAAATATTGTCCTGCAGCTGCTGATCATGGAGCGACTGCGGCTCTACAGAAAAATATTTTTATTAGTTCAGAATTTTGTGTTTCCCCGAAAAATCTCCAGATAAAACGATACTGTGCTACAAAATATTCATGACGGAAAAAAATATTAATAACTAAAAAATCAACAACATTGGCTAAAATCCTTATTAATGTTTCTGTTGAGGAGGCAGCGCCATCATGTGGCGTGTTTTATATCACATGAGTTCGCGTTAGAGATTGAATAAATACATAAATATTAAAATAATCCATGGAATAAACGTTAGAAATTATATGGAGAATTGTATGTGCGAGATCCTACAGTCTCAGCATCGAGAAAAAGTTTTCACATTTGGTGACGTTTCAACAGCAGACTTGTTTCATTCGGAGTTTTTGAGACATAATTCATAATTCTGAAGAAAAATAATCCAAAACACAATCTGAAAAGTATGGAAGTTCACTTCCACCATAAAAGAAAATGAAAAACCCAAGATATAATTTTGACTTGTATTAATAAGATATAATGAAATATAAAGTCATGACTTCGAAGTTCAGTCGTAATTTTCAGATAGTTATAATTATGTGATTCAGTAATAATTTCGATTTCCAGTCATGTGAGATTTTGGCAAGCTTCCGTAGAGAAACAGCGTGACTTCCATAAATATAACTTTTAAAGTCAAAATTATGACTATTTATTCATTTTTCTCACTTCCTCTTGGGCTTTTATTTTTCTGTCATGGCGGAAATGGGCTTTAATAGAAAGCGTGACTTTTAGAATAACGAATCAGTTTATTTTATTTTTTACTTCTCTTGCTATGTTATGTTTTTATTACTTTAAATATTTGAAAATCAAAAATTATGGTAGACAAAGTTATATCCTCAAAATGTTTTTTATTTCAGTATTTGTTTTGTAGTTTTTCTGCGCGGAAATAACGTCACGTGACGCATATGACACCCAATTTTTAAGTCGCGAGTAACGAATAAATGTGGAGTTAAAACAGAAAGAGGATAACCGAGTTGTAATAAAGTCCCTGACAGATTTTTACTAAATTTATTTCGGGAAGCGTCGAAGAAAACCACACTCAGTTTATTTTTATGCTTTATTTTGAAAGTGACACCGGAAGAAGAATTATCCTGCCACCAAAGTCTGTCATTGACCTTTCGCGTGTTGAGTCTAACCACAGCTCCCAGTCCCGCCAGTAAAGATGCCCTTCGTCGTCCTGGAGAGCAACCTGCCTGCCAGCAGCTTCTCCGAGGATTTCCTGAAGCGGTTCTGCTCCGTCACCGCGGCGGCGCTGGGGAAACCGGAGGACGTGAGTACCTCCGACCCGCTTCCACCAGTTCCACCGGTGTAACAGATCTGAGCGTTTCCAGGTTATCTGGCGACCAGAACCAGAGGAGTTGTCAGCAGGGGCGACCCCATGTTTTATGGGGCCTTGAGCAGAATTAGATGAGGGGCCCCTCTTACTGTTCAGAACAACAGCGATTCAATACAGATTCAATGGAGTCTGGATGGAGTTTAATTGGCTCATTAATTAGTTATTATTTACAGTGGAATGTCACAGATTTTTCTGTGGTAACACCAAATTATTCCTGGTATTTTTGTTCTTTTTTTTTCTTATAGCATATGTTAAATATTCAAAAGAAAATGCAGCTTGTGAAGCTGAGATATGTGTCCACTATGCTACTTGAAATATGCTATTGGCTACATTGCTAATCCAGGAGAACTGTTCATTTTCCTTTTTGTTGATTGGCTGAAAACTCGAGCAGAAATAACGAAGACCGGGATGTTAGCTTCTGCAGTAGAGTTAAGTTTCTACTGAGTGCATTGATGAGTTTTATGGTATATTTGGTGTTTGAACTATGAAAACAAGCAGTTCTAAGCATTTTAGAGATGATCTCAAGTATTTGTGGATTAGCTTACATTAATTATTATGTTAGTATAGTTCCTAAGGGCAATTGAATAATTGTCGTTGTGAACCAGACGAATTGACCGGACACTCTTTTCCCTCCCAGAGGATGAACATGGTGATGCATCCAGGGCTGCCGATGCTGGTGGGCGGCTCCTGCGCTCCATGTGTTCTGGTGTCGGTGTCGGCCATCTCTGTGACGGACACCGCCGAGAAGAACAAGGAGCACAGCGCCAAGATCTTCGGCTTCCTGACCAAAGAACTGAGCCTGGCTGAAGACAGGTGAGCTCCCCCTGCTGGACGGTCCTATAAACGCTGCATTCAGCCAATATTAACAGAGAATACGTCACTCTGTCCCTTTAGTTCTGAAGCTGTTATTAATTTAAATCAATAATGAATGAGGCAATAATAGAATAAAATCCAGCTAAAGATGCTGAAGCATCGATAGAGCCGCCATCTTTGTTTCTGTTGACAGCTTCCTGTTTGGCTGACAGGACAGGAAGTGATGAGTCTGGTTTGATGTTTGCAGGATTGTGATCCAGTTCCTGGAGCTGCAGCCTCACCAGGTGGGGAAGAAAGGAACCGTAATGAGCTTCCTGTGAAGAACCAGCAGCAGACGACCTTTAACCTCTGCCCATTCCAGAATCCCATCTGGAGATTTGTACTGTTGAAATAATGTCACTGTTTAAAGTGAAGCTGTTAATTCCAGAAGTAAAAACCGGGCTGGTTCGGTTCTGCTGGAGGAACCCGAGCTGAAGACGGTTTGGTCGTCCCGGTTCCTCTGGATCGGCTCTGGGATCGATTACTCTTCCTGTCGATGAAATAAAGGCAGAATGTTGAACAACAATCATCTCTCATCACTGCACATCCCATAATACAAAATACTCACATTCTCTACTTAGAAATAATGTTTTCAAAAATACTCCAGTAAAAGTAAAAGTAAGGCTGGAATGTTTTAGTATTTCTGAAATGTACCTAAATACTAAAAAACTCAAAAGTCATTTTCACCTTCAAGACAAAATGACTTCTGATAAGTTAAACAGTTCTAGTCATGCAGTAGTTTGCTCACAACATGCTGAGCTGGCGTAGAAATTTAAAAATTACTGATAGTTTTTCTTCAAACCAAACGTCCATCAGGATAAACGCAGCGCGTTCGTCATGAACCGCTGGAGCCAAAAACATGAAATGATTTTTCAGTCTGGATGTGTTCCTGTGTTTGTGACGTTCTCAGGTCAAAGCCTCCATGATGTGGAGAATTACAGCCACTGAAACACTTTGTGTGCTGGAAGTGGATTTTTCCGTTTTGATCCGAATCCACGTCATTATTTGTTTCATCATGGAAACAATGAGCTATATGTGACAAAGGAGCAGAAAGCACAGACACGTC